TTTCTGCACATGACCAAGACAGCAGGGAAACCTAGAGCTGCGGGCTGGAGAACTAAGCTGTCTAGAGGGCAGGGAAGCATCTGATGCCGAAGAAAACTAAATGGCTGAGTCTAACCACAACATCTTTCCTTTCTTTCCATGGAGAAGCTGGGACATGCTGAACTGCACTCAGCAGACTGCACTGGAACTTGGGAAGGTCTGTGAAGCCTTCAGGGAGCGGTGAAAAACGTAACTACCCAAACAATCCCTGCCAAAAACCAGCCCAGAGGCATTAAATGTCTGTGAATATACAAAACAATAAGCCATGCTGCTATGGGATGCTAACAGTTAGGGACATTTCTTAAAATTACAATACAGAAGCATTACTGCGATACAGTGGTGTTTTTGCAGTATTAGGGCCTCCATGTGCTACACATATCTGGAGTATATAATTATGCAGGAACAACTGCCACTCTTCATCCCAGAAAAAAAGAAAAAAAAAATGCAGTTATTTCATACATTTCCAGATAAGGTTGCATTTATTATTGTACTGTTACAAAATACTATGTTGTAACCTTATGTGTTGTGCTGTTTATTTCTAAAGACACGAGAATCCTGACATTATCATGTTCCTTGAAGTGATTTCGGGAAAGTGATGAGATGATTGCCAAGACTTTATGCTGCAAGTCTTTAAGAGTTTAGTAGATTTATTCTTTTCCTTCAAACAAATGCCTTCTTGTAATTTTCAGCCCTCCACTACTTGTCCCCCCTCCTCTGCCCTCTTAGATCCAAGCTTGAAGAAAGGAAGCTGTTTGGAGCTCGATCTGTTGCTTGTAACTATGTTAGAGAAATTGTACTATTCTGGGAGCACTCAGGCTTCTCCAGACAGCTCTTCCAGCTGTACATGCATGCTTTTCATCTCAGCCGTGAGAACTTTTATTGGTCTCCCACCAAGCCCCACCAGCCAAAGCCCAAGTGCTGGCTGATCTTCTGCGAGGCCTGAGGAACGCGTGCGTGCGTGTGCATGAGTGAGCGCACACGGGCGTACGCGCACACACTCATTTATTCACATGAAGGAGAGGTTTAATGGTCAGCTTTGAGACACACACACACACACCCACCCCTCAAACCCCGTTACATCAGACTCATCCTGCTGTTGACTTAGACCAGTGGCTGGCTTGCTCTGATGTGCAGCGCTGAAGTGGATTTGCAGGCCTGAATGGATGACTGACTGACAGGGTACCAAGGGGGGATGTGTTACGTTGCCTCTGGACAAGCCATCATCTCCCTCTGTCCCTGCAGTGGGGGCAGAAGAGGGTGGTACGTGCCCATACAATGGTCTGTGCCTCATGAGAGCCCCCACCTCAGCTGTGACACGTTAGACTCACGTCAGGACAAGGAAGGGGCTGCGCTGCACCAGGATGGCACCCCAAAACTTGGGCTCATCATCATCATCGTCATCAGGGTTACTTACACAGGCTGATTTGCACGTTTCTCCTCAACAAGTACTTGTATCAATCGTGACTGGAATAAAACACTGGCACACAGGGATAACTCTTTGCTATTATTTTCCACTTATAAAACCCACAAATCTGCATGATGAACCAAATTCTCCTATCGCAAAGATTATTTGTTACGTGAAATAGCTAGAGCAGCAGAAAGAAGCCGTTCCCAGAATTTATGAGGAAAAAGATTGTTCTTTACAGCGGCGAAAAACCACCATTGTCCCACTCAGTGTATTAACATTCACAGTAAAAGATGGCAGTTGCAAAAATGTGGAGGAGTATGATCAAATCAGTATTTCTTAAACAGTTTTGCAGTGTGCGAGCTGATATTTTGGAATAATAACAGAGAGCGCACAATGTTCTGAGTTGTCAGAGTTTCTGAGGGGGCAGATTCATAGGTCTGCATCACCTAATGCCTCCCAAACTCAGCTGAATGAAAGACAAACAAACAGGACAACTCAGGGTGTTGTACTTACGAGTTGGATGAGTTATGTTTTGGTGTCTTTTTTAAGCAAATCCATAATTGAAATGCTGCTGTGATGCAAAACTAAAATTACACAGTACCATACACAGATCTCCTACGGATAGTATGAGTTGGCGCATATGTGTGTGCATGTATTTGTGTTGTAATTTAAAGCATAACAGCATCTCAAGCTAAAAAAAGTTTAGGGACCTTCTCTGAGAGAAAGTCTTCACCTCAGAAAGAGAACCCGTGGTAATGAACATCAGTATGGCAGCCAGAAATAGCATTCAAACCCTTACCAGCAAGATATGGGACATCAAAGAAGTTAAATTGATCTTCCTGCCTTCCACCCCAAACATCTCTGCTTCAACACCAGCCTCCCTTTCTCTGTGCTGGCAGCTACATGGTGTTTCTTGTCCCCATCAGCATACACTGCATGCTGTCCTTGTGACCACCCTGTCTCTCTAGCTCTACATGTCTGAGCTACAGTGGAAGATTTGGATTAACGTGAGCAGAATTTTGCATGGACAGTGGTGCTGTGAAATACAGTGAAACCAAATGAACATGGACCTTTAGCTTGTGAGCAGCCACAGACACCGGGATTTCGGTACGCGGTATGGCTGAGGCTAAACTTGGTATCATAACAAAGCGTGGGTCTAAATAAAAACTGCCTTAAACTCTCAGGAGGTTTGCTTCTTCTACACGATGACAGTTGTCAGAGAGTAGCTCTCCTACAGAAACAACCATACTAAATATAGTGTGTTGGAGTAAATGAAAGAGGCAATGCTGGAAGAAAACTAAAAATGTTTTTCTTGCTCTCTGAATGCAACCTTATTTCTGCAAGGGGCCATGGATGCCATATATGAAGGTATTTATCCCTCTAGCTCTGTGATTCCCTCAGTTATTAATGCAACACAGCCATTTTCAGAAGCTCCAGGTCTTTGTTGAGGGCATGCTTTGGGCTGGGAGACCCCCTTCATGTGGCAGCCTCGGAGAAGCTGGTGAGCAATTTTCTCTCCCAAAGGACTGCCAACTGCTTTGAAGGGAGGCCACCAGGAGACCCCATTTATGTCACCTTTTCTGCTGGTCTGCTACTGATCAGTTGTGTAGCTAGCCTTGGCTTAGCTGTGCATTCAATGCAGGCAGCAAGATGCAACTAGGAGAGGAAGCAGCCAAACACAATAATACAGACATTTGCCCATTTTACCGGAATGGCGTATTTTCTGGCAACTTCTCTTCTGCCTCATTCCTCTCTCTCTGCTCAGGGCGGCATGAGGGTCCCTCATGCAGCTGCTGTGACCCACAGGAACTTTGCAGCATGTATAAGCTGCAGGACCTGGAAGACAGCAAAGTGGCAACCTTGCCTGGAAGCCTAGATACACCAAAGCCAAAGGCAAAGCTCCCCCTGTCCTCAGAAGGTCCAGTTTTTCACTTGTGGGTTTCAATGCACAGTGGTGCTTGCAAGGGAGCTTCTAGGAAGATTCATTTCTTGGCCTTTTTATTCCACACAGGCTTCCTCCTCTGCGTTGTATTTTTGGATGTTTTTTATGTTGTTGTGCTTGGAGCCATTCAAATTTCAGCACACAAAAGCAGAATTCAGCAAAACCCCTTGTATGTAAGTACAAAACCTTAGCTAGAAATGGTTTTGATTGAAGCCAGGCCAGCTTTCACCTGCCCTGATTCATAACCCTTTCAGCTACCCTGAGGAGCAATCTTGGAAAATGCTGCAACTGGCTGAGGCTGGTGCGGCTTCTTGGCAAGCCGGGTGGAAGCCACACTGCTAAATGCTGCTGCTGGGCTGAGAGAGGGATAAGATGTCCGAGTGCTTTTGTGTACCCACAAAGTAAGTGCTTCTGCCCTGCAGAACGTGGATCTTGCTTGCTAAGGGGCAGGGACAGAAACTGCTGCTGTGGTGAGCAATACCTTCCATAATGACCCTTGCTAGAGCATACTCCTGTGGGTGCCAGTGGGAGTTTTGCCTAAATAAAAGCCAGCCTTTGGACTGCTACAAAACGGGAGATGCCCTAGGGGAGTTTGCATGTCTCCGAGCTATGGGTGGGCAGCCCTTGCTGCCTGTGGCCTCCAGCGCTGTGGAGCTTGCCTGACACTTAAACCAGAATCAACAGTTTCATTTTAAAATTAAAATAATCTTCTGAATAACAGGAGCATATTGGCGCTTGGAAAATGTAGAGCACAGCATCTTTTTTGATTTCAGTGCTAGGAAAAAAAAAAAAAAGGAGAGACAAAGCGCCAGGAAATATTGTTTCTTGGCTGAACTCTTGTAGACCAAGTTTTGGTCCAGAGTGGGTTTTTTGTGTGACTCAGTGGTAAATATCTGAACAAAGAGCTTTATGATATGGAGGCAATACTGTTAAAAGCGTTTAACTCTAGTTGTGCTGGCAGTGGGATTGAAAACTTTTGGCATCTTTTCTTTCTTTCTCACAGCAGTGCTTGTAAATGGATTGAAACCTTCCTCGGGAATTTCTGTAACAAACCGGGTAAAAATTTAAGTGCTTTGTAATCTCTATGGGAAGACTTAGTATCAGGTAGAGTAGATAATTTGAATTACTTAGAGCAATCATACTTTTGAAAGCTTTACTTCATTCTTGTGAAAACTAGTTTGTAGCAAAATTACCTTCCAAAAGCTTCTTTGCATGCTTCCCTAATGAACTTCTGATTTACATGTCGTTTGTAGATATGACTTCTCTCTCCTAATGCAGTTTTCTTTCAAGGCAGATTTCTGTTTTAGGGGGGAGTATTATGTAGTGTGGATAGCTGCTGTGGAGGAATTCTTGCAAATATCTCATTTGTATTGCTTTTGTTCTTCCACTTCAAAAACCCCACATCTCACTCTTCCAAGGAGGAGAGGATATAGTGTTTGACTTATTGCAAAGCCTAAAGCATTCTTAAGATTAACTTCAACTAATCACTAAAACATGGCTTCTAATTTCATAACTGTTGTGACTCTTCAACACAGGAAAAGGGCTTCCTACTTAAAAATCTATTTCACTTCTAATTTTTTTTTTTTTTTTTTTTTTTCCACAAAGGTTAAGTCTGGGCTTGTGTGCCTCCCTCATCCCTATGCTCGTTAATGTCATCAGTGAGGAAGATGAGGCCTCCAGTGCCTAACAGTGCAAGCGTGGTAGCACAATGCTGAAAACCAGAAGCGACCAGACTTCAGACAAAGATTGAGTAGGGAAGCTGCTGAGGCCTCCACGCAGTTGTCTGACCAAGGTAGATGTGAAACCGCCTCACGACTCAGCCTCTTCTCCGCAGTCTCTGAGGATGCACCTTCCACCACAACACATCCCATCTTTACCTCTCCAGGTAAGGCTGGGTTATGAGAGTTGGGCAATTTTTGTTGTCTTTTCACATACAGTAACTTTGTTGTTTTTTCCATTCTGTTTTTTTTTGGTTTTTTTTTTTTTTTTTTTTGTCATCAGAGCCACCACACTCAAACATCTACTATACAATTTATTTGTGTAGTGTTTTCAGATTATACAGGACTATGGGCTGGAATTGGTAGTTTACTGAAGGATAATGCTGAAGAAAGGGTCATCAGATAGTGTGCTGTGATTTAGAAAACTGACCACTAATCTAATGTTTTCCAACAAGCCACTCTGAGTTACAGGATGGAATAAAAATAATCTCAAAAAAATTAGTGGAATAAACTCATGCTTTGGGGCATAAACAAGCTTCATAAAAGGTTTGGATAGAAATAATATCCCCTTCTGACACATTACTTTATAATTACAGAATATGGGACTGCTTGCATCTTTCTCTGAGGGACCTAGTGCTGGCGCTTTTAGATACTAGCTAAGTAATTTTTAAAATTTATAGATCTTTCAACTTCTTTCAGTGGAAATACAGGCTTTCAAGGACATTTTACACAGGTCAATTGCTATGTAGAGACCAAGAACTTCATTTCCTCAATCACATTTCATGATCACATTAGAGGTAGTCCACAGATGCCCAGGGACCGATGAACCACATGATAAAAACCGCAAGACAACTCAGACCAGGAATCAGACTCTGTCTGACAGTTTTCTAACACCTGATGTCTTTAAATCAAGGCTGGATTTTTTTTTTTTATTATTTTCTTTTTTTTTTTCTTGAAGAAGACATACTTCAATTCAGCTAGAAAATACGAGCTTGAGAAGAGAACTTAAAAGTCTGTAGCAAGCCTATCAGGGCTGACGTACAACATGATTGTAATGTTTAATTCCAGACTGAAAAATCAATGAATCTACAAAGTTTCATATTTCTAAGGAAACAAAGACATAAATCTACAGCCACCTTGGCAAACTACATGCTGACTTCTCCTGGGGAATATCTGCAAAGAAGCCCCACACCTGTGGGAAAGGTGTTCCCAGGATAATGTCACCTACATGTATCACGAAGGAATTTTCTCCTTTGCTGCTCAGATGAGGGTTTTTAATGATTGCCTCCCATTTACTCCACAACATTTCATTGCTGAGTAACTCGAGACTTCTTCACACCGTTTGAGTTTGATGGCATGTACGAGTAATGCAGACCTTTCTTTCCTGGGGGAAATTAAGAATATAATTCATTCTTTCACTCAGTAACTCAACTGAATCCAATTTGGGTTCATTCTTTTAGGAAATGTGTTTAGCTAATTCTGTCAAATTAAAATATGAAAGGAAAAACGTCAATAATACTGGCCATCTTGGCATCACGGGTCTTAGATCTTTCATACCATTATTCCTCCACTGACAATTTTATTTTGCAGAGGGAGAAACTAGTCCTAGAAGGATTAAGCCACATCTGCATTTTCTGCATATTACAAAACACTAGCATGTATATATGTACATGGAACAAAACCTCAGCAATGCACTTCTGATGTTGATTTGGCTTTTTGGTTTAATATGTGAGCTTTTATTTTGATTTTTTTTCCTTACATTTACTTTAGTGTGTATTTTCCAGATGCATTGTGTGCACAAAAAAGGGAGTAGTAACAGGACAGGAATGTCAGCTGCACTCTGTGTCCTTAAGAGACAAAGAATAAATATTATTTGGAAATATCTATGGCACGAGGCCCTCCCAGCAGCTTCTGATCTCATTCCTATCCTTCACACGTGGTTGTTAACACAGGGCCACATAAGGGAACAGCCAAGGGCTGGAGAGGCCAAGACCAAAGTGAGTATTGATTCCCTTCTTTCTCAGTGTGACTGGTGCTTAGAAAACATTGATCACTAGTGCAACCTTGAGAGAAGGCTGCATAAATTCATGGAAGAGGAAACCCACTGAGAGCTACTGGATACACAGAAAAGGAGTCTGGCTCAGGATGTGTCTGGGCCACAAATGGCTGCAAAGTACTTGGAGGAGAGGGAGATGCTGCTAGTGCCTGTCTGGTCTCATGTTCCTCCTTTGAACGTCTGCTTTTGGGTGTTGGCATTAGCTGTTCTTTTTTCATGATGCATTTATTTACTGCTGGAAGGAGGCGAGGACTGGAAGCTGCCCAGGATGCTGACTGCAGCCCGCTGTAACACCCCTCTTTCCCCAGGGCTGGCTGCAGCACAGGGTATTGACCGGCATTGCAGCTGCCCGGTAAGCGTGCTTCATCACCAGAACAAATTTTCCTAAGTGCCTAAATGGCTTGAAACTGCAGGTTTTGTTGGCCAGGGTCAAGTGAATTGCACATATTGGGAAACTGCTTGCAGTTAGCTTTCTCTCTTTTTATCTCTCTCCCTGTGCTTGTGCAGATTCAATTATGCAGAAATATACTATTAGGCTCAACTTCTCTTTATTTAAGCAGGTGAGGAACAGTGAGTTTCAAACTTCGACAGAACTGCACAATACCTTGAAATATTTTACCTCAAGCCGCTCTTTCTCTGATAGAAAAACACGTATTTCCTTCTTGATTCTCAGAGTCACATTAACTGGTGATCCTTTGTCCCCGTAAGCATAGCACACTAGATGGATAGACTGCAGCAAACGAGGTACGTGTTGCATTTAGAGGCAAGTATCACCTTTAAAAAAAATTACCTGCCTGCCAGAACTTTGCAAAACAAGAAAGTAAGTTCAGCTCAGTGCACAGAGTAGTTTCTCACTGTCTGACTCTCCTTCTGGCTGCCTGGAATGCCTGGCATGTCAGGTAACACATGCTGAGCAACAGCCAAAAAGCACTTCGTCGGTTGTAAAATTGAAACAAGCTCCTTATTAAAAAAAAAGGTATTTTAAGAGGTAGTGCAGCTGCGGACGACGCTGTAGCCGTGCTGCTCAGCCATCACACAGAGGCCAGCTTTAAGCAGTGTCGGTGGATATGTGTGTAACAGGGACCTCTGCAATCCTGAAGAGAGAGGTCCGGCTGCCTTGTGCCAGAGCACCCTGCAGCTACCTTGCCTCACATCTTCATTACCCAAACAGCAAATTTTAACGTGAAACAAACATTAACAAAATACACCTATTTAATTGTTACCAGTCCACTAATTCAGGAGAGCCCCTGGAACATCCCGTGCTGTTTCGACCTCCAGTTCTCCCCCGACTCGTCAGCAGCTCTACTGTTTCCTGTTGGTAAATCTTTCAGTTTTAGCTTTTCCCTGCTGGTAACATCCACAGCCTAGATGCTGTTATTTCTTTGTTGAACCGCAGCTGGTTACCCCCTCATGAGGAAGAGTACTGATTTTTTGAGGCTGTGGTGACCTGGTGTTACAGGTGCTGTACAGTCTCAGACAGGAGGTCTCCAACAGCAGAGTCTCCCATCTGTTCAAGACCTTCCCAGCTGAATCTCTTTGTAAACCCTCTTCTCTTGGTCTTGAGCGTGGCATCAGCTGCTCAGGCTTTTTCATACAACAAGGTTTGTAACGTCTGGCCAATACCATGGGTTATAACAGTAAATGATACTGCTTATAACAAACATCTCCAGGGTTTTCTTGGACTTTTCAACCTCTAAATGGATTTCACATTTCCTGTGTCCTGTATCTGTCTATACCACCTTAGAAATGACAATCCTGGTGATTTTGGCATTGAGGATTCATGTGAGGATGGTGCAGAGGCTGGTAAGAGTCTGCCCTTACCCTCCAGGGCCAGGAGCATCCCATCCTCTCTGTGGTTGGACTAAAACTGGAGACGCTTTAGAAGGGTCAGACAGACATGCATATGATCCAGCTCCCCTCTTTGCGTCATGCGACTTTGTGCACGACTAGCAATTGCAGATGTACTCCTAAAACTCACACAAAGCTTCTGACCTGTTGTCGCACACTGTTTTACAGAGTGTATCATGTCCAACATGACTGTAATCTGTCTTCTATCTTACTCAGATCCAGATCTGCCTCCTGCTATTTTAACTCCTCTCCCAGGAATTCCTGCTAGGTAGACTTTTGCTTCCATTAGTCAGGCTTAAAACACATTTCACCACTGTTTTGCCCCAGATCAAAACTTGCAACCTCATTCCCTTTGAACCTACGACTCCCAAAAACTAGAAAGCTGCTCTGAGGTAGCCAGTCTCTGTGGAGATGTGGCAACAAGTTGTGGTGGCTCTACATGTTCTTGTTATTAAAAGCAAACGGACCTGTCCATTTTTTTTTTTTTTTTTTTTTTTTTTTTTCCAGGGGTCAGGTTGGGCTGCTTCCCTGACAGCTTGCTGTTTTCCCTGTCTGACAGCATTTGCTGTGGGCACTCATGCTTGGCCGGAGGATATGCTCCGCGGCTGTGCTCAGGCAAGCCTGTCTCCCACATGCTCAGTGTACGTTGGGTAAACGATGTCAGATCTTTGCTGGGTGGCTATTTAAGAAAAATGCTGGGAGTCGGGGCAGGCACATCCTGCAGTGCTCGTTGCGGGCAGTAAGTTATAGCAATTGCCAGAGCCTCCCTTCTGGGATGTAAAGGTTTTGCAAACAGACATCTGTGTGGTGCTCTGCACAGCACACCCTGCTTGGTGCATTGCCAGAGATGTTGCTGGGCAGTACCCTCTCCTCACCTGAGAGCTTTGGAGTCCCAGAGACATGTGTTCTAGTTGTCTGAGCACTCAGCAGTGACTTCTTTGTGATGCTGACTAATTTCTCCAGGGCTGGATCCATTTCTCTCCATAATTGCACTTGCAGGCTGGAATCCCGCAAGCAACTCTGTTTTTAATTAGGGGCTCCATAGTGTCTCCAAAGATATGCATAGTGTCAGAGATCTTACATCTGAAACATAAGGCTCTATTGCCCCTTATTTTTATTCTCGGTTTTCAGCACAATTATTGCATCTCTCTACAGTCTTATTCTGCCCAGGTCAACTCTTCAAATAACTTTCTCAATGGTTCAATTGTTCCAAGAATTATTTTGAAAATAGTCTCTCTCAGGTCACTTCTTGTCCTCCTTGCT